TACGTTTTAGCAACTTTATAAAAATCTAAAGACCTGACCTGAGTAACTGCTGTCTGCTTGTAAAGCGCCACTCCCATTCTTCCCCCAGACCAAATGGCGCAGGACGCTTTACATTGATTTCTTCTTCCAGATGTTCCAGTACTTGCATCACAGTTTGCCAGTCTATTACTGAGACCTTCAACGCCACCCCCGCCTCAAGCAACAATAAGCGGTGTGTTTGACGATGTCGCTACAAATGATCCGCCACCTCCCCCTGACGGAAAACCTGCAGTATTTACTGGAGCTGTTTGTCCAACCAATATCTTAATTACATCTCCTTTCTAAAAGTTAAATTCACCTCTCATATAAGCCCAGTGACCACGAGCAATTGAGCTGTATTTATCATATCCTCCAGCTGCACTAACTGCAGTGATCTCGTATGTTCCAGTGCAAGGGTGGATCCAGCACTAGTGCACTAGTTTGCATGACACAAGAAAACTGCTAAAAATAACCACTTTGTTTTGTAATGCAAATTTGTGCACTAGTGCTGGATCCACCCCTGTTCCAGTGTAGGGAACACTGGCGTAGCCAGCATCGATAATTGGGGGGGTCCATATTCATATATTCATGTAAACAGACTGTAAAGACAATTGATTTGAAAAGAAATTAATCCTGCGTATCACGAATATATGAATATGGACCCCCCCAATTATCGTTCTGGCTACGCCGCTGGTAGGGAACTGTCCAGAACTGTATCCCATTCTTGAGAGTCACCATGTTGTCATTATCTTTCCCCACATAGTAGAAGCCCAGGGATGAAGGACCAAGACGACCAGTTGCTCCAAGACTTGTAAAGTTGGCGTGGAACTTACTCATTACTAGAAATTAATACTATATATAGTATATACTGAATATTATACTGTCGACAGCAAATCCTCGCTATAGAGTGTGTGTATATTTTTTCGCGTATTTTATTCGCAAAAGGCCACTTAATTCTCATTTTATTATTACAATCTTCAAAAGAGACCTCTGTTATGCCTGTGACAAGTGCAGGCAAATGATTACGCAAACCCTTGAAAAAAATTTACACATTTTTTATGAGTAAGGAAATCCGAAATGCATTGCCTGGCAGGTTGTTTTGCAAGGCGTTCAAATAAACTGCCCCATGAAATGAAATGAAATAAAAATTGCGACGAAAAGTATTTTATGCAAAATACTAAAAAGATGATTTTATGTATGCATCAATATCTCTTCTAATACGAAATACACCACTGCAAAGCTTTCGGTCCGTCACCCGGCCCTTTATTGCACGGATGAAGGCCCGGCCGGGTTAACGGACCGAGAGCTTTGCAGTCCTTAACTTGTCTTACCCTATCAGCATACTATTACTAGAAATAAATGCCTGCAGCAACCCCTCGCCATTTCAAACGAAGCAAATATTTCCTGAGCTAGCCAGACCTAACCTTCAATATTATGAAATGTCCTAAATGTAAAGCCGATTGCTGATGTTTCAAATATTTCGGAAACAAACACAGTCGTAAAGGTGAAGTGAAATCACCTGTTTTCCTGCTGCTTTCCGTTGCATTAAGTTATAGACTTTCACAGTTTAAGTGAGAGTTAATACTTCATTATAGCTAAACCTTCAAAACATCAAAACAGCCTAAATAATATAAATAACATAGCAATGAACGTCGAATGTTGTTTTTCGATTATTAGATTTATGCAGTGATTGCAGTCGACTATATATAAACCTTTGTTAAAAAAAAGAAGTGATATTTGTTATATTAAAACTCCGAATTACACTTTTAAGGACTCTTTTGGAAGTTAAAACGATGATGTAAAGCCTTAAATAGTCGGTCACGTCTTCGCAAAACCGAGCAAAACGACATACTGTACCAAGCCAAGGTCATAAAATGTATCCGTACATGAAACACGAAATAAACCTCGAAATAAACAAAATAGACTCCTACCATTTCAAGGATTATAATCCAGTTGTTCCTTTTCACCGCTAATTCCTCCAGTTCTGATAATATCTTAAACTCTTCCTAGTGTTTTATCTGTTATTTGATTCCACATTTCATATTTTGTTTTCGAAACATTTTTTTAAAAAGTAGTTTGCAAAATGACAGTTAGATTGCTGACGTTTTTCACTCGAACACAAACGTTTCGTCTTAGCCAATCAGGAAGTTGCTGATTACCGGTCTACACTCGTTCGCATTTCGCGCATGCGCACAAGTACCATGACCATTGAACGTCCATGACAATTGGGCAACTTTGGATTTCGCTATGCTCTCCCGGGTCCCGGGTGTAATTCCTAACCTCCGGGCGGAATTAGTACCCTCGCACGGTGCTCCGCACCGGCTCGGGGACAATCGAAAAATCTCGGATTAATTTAACTCTTCCTTCACTTTATTCTTTAACCCATTTCTTACAAAATAGCTATGCAGCGAGCTGCCCGGTTTGCCATGTTAAGGCTAATTTCCACTCCGGAAAACGAGCAGAGGATCGGATCGGATCGGATTTTTTTTCGAGCTGGTCCGATCCATTAAGTGATTTCGAATCGGATCAAAAAAGTTAAAACTATTTGAACTTTTTTTATCCGGTCTCGGACGCTTTCGGATCACTGAGCTATATAATAATTCCTGGAGGACCGGCTCGTCATTTTTCGGTAACTTCGCCGCCATCTTTTTGTCGCCAAAAACATGGCGGACTTCGCCCTTCTGCGCAACCGCAGAAGCTCTGCTGACGCCACATGGTTCCTTTTGGCCATGGTATTTACCACTGACCGGGCTCAAATATGAGCCCACTACAAGGGTGTTCTCCCCCCCTAGATTTAGTAAACAACAGATTCTCCCCCCTGGCCTTTAAAAAAAAAATTAAATTCCCGTGAAAACTTGTTTTGTTTTTCTGAAATATAAAGTCATGAAAACATCATTAATTGCATTTTTTTGAAATATAAAGCGTTTTTTTAAGATAAATACAAGTCGTAGATGCTGTTATTGCAAACGCATAAACAATTATATATTAAAACGTCAAAAATTGTGGACAAAATTGAAGATTTTAATTCTGACACGAACTGACAGGTGTTTTTTTTATATTTTCATTATTTATACATTCCTATAACAAATGCTTGAATTTTTTGGCACTATTGTCGGACATTTTGGGGACAACTGGATATTTATGGACATCAATTAGACTTTTTTAAACCCTGCATGAACTGCAGAATTACTGAAAGTATGCAATTAATAATGTTTTCTTGAATGTCTTCAGGACAATATATTTAGGTATAATCCAAAGAAACAGAGGCCAAAGCTCAGGGGCAAGATGCTTGGCAGCTGACTAAGTGCAAGAGTATAGTTTCAACCATGAGTCATATTTGCATAATATACTTTTCATTAAGGTCATCAGCTTAATTGTACCTGAATGGGCTATAAAAGTTTTCAATATTATCTAATTGCACCCCTGGACCCCTGGTCTTATTAATAAATAATATTCATCCCTCCATAGACTCAATTACTCCTGATTAGCCCATTGAATTTAGCCCTCTTGAAGTTTGATACCATAAACAGAAACTTATAAAAGTGGCTGCAGATTGAAGATACATTGCTCACACAGTGCATTTTATATTTATTTCCTTTATAAATATAACAATGGTTTTAAAAATACCAGCCAAAACAAAATCAGATAACATGGTAATCAAGGATAACAATGCAGATTCATAACAATGTGTATAATATGCTTAATACATCTCAGTTCAATGTTCCCACAAATTGCATGACAATTAATTAATAAGCAATCTCTAGCTTGCTTTATTTCATTAATTAATAAGCCATCTCTAGCTTGCTTTATTTCATAGCATCTTCATCCTGAAAAATATAAATGGAAATATGATCAAGATTTATTCACAACGTGCAAGAAGTTAAAAAATCAATTAATATAAGCCATGATAATTGATTTGAATTTGACAAGGCAAACAAGATAATATATTAACTAGGTTTTAACAGTCACCATCATCAGAGCTTGAAATTTACACTGTTTGCAGCGATTACTTTGCATTACTTTGTATCAGCACCCACTTAGCACTTTTGCCAGTTAGATCATGTAATTATTGCTTGAATCTAATAGACTCACTGGGGGAAAGGTTTACCTATTTACATTATTGTTTGCTATCATGAAAACAAAATAGACCAAACTTAAAGATTGACATTGCCAGGAATTTAATTCCTTCTCCACACAAGTCAAGAAAAATGATAAAGTTTGACTGTTTCGTCTGTTTGAGTATATAACATTGCACATGTACCAAAGGTCTAAAATAGTATATTTGCTGTTTGTACCATAAGTTTTGATGGATTTATAGCCTTTGGTAATCAGTTTATATTCGAGTCCAAAGGCAAAAAACTGAAATTGTTATAAAAACCGGCTTACCTGGATGCCATAAAATAACAGCCGAATGAGAAAAATCATTCCCCCGATAAGTGAATTAAGCCATTCACAACGTCAGACGCAGAGCACGAAGCTACGTGTCCTTTCCATTTGTTGAACAGGGAAAAAGAGAAACACTTTTATCCATTTTATATGAAAAACAAAAAATATGTACAGAAAGCTGAAAATATTTTCATAAAAACCAGGAGGGAGATGGACACAGTTTTTCACCTTGTATCGCGGTATGTCAGTGGTAACCACCATGAGCAAAAGGAACCATGTGGCGTTTGTGGCGTCAGCAAAGCTCAAAATCCGCCATGTTTTTGGCGACACGATTTGGCAGCGAGCCGGTCCTCCAGGAATTATTATATAGCTCAGTGTTTCGGATCAATATAAGCCAAAAATTTCAACAGACGGCGCACGCGCGGATTATCTTTCGTTCCGATCAGTGGTTCCGATCCGATGGTTTGGAGCAAATCCACCCAGGGTTTTGACTTTTGGGCGAAAATGTGGATTTATGTCTGTCCAGAGAGATTACCTAATCCTAAATCCGATCATCGAATAAATCAACTGTCAAGCACTGAGCGGCGCTGCGGCAATCGAACATTTGGCTGGAACTTCTCCAGGTTCTGAACATTACATTAGTATATATATGGCTTCGTTGGTTTTGTTTCTTTCCACTGTTGCTGTCAGTTGGTAGTGATTTGATAATTTAGATCAAAGGCAAAGTGATCGATAAACGTTTGCCTTTCATTGAATGAAATTCATTCAAGAGTAGAGACTAGAGGTAAGCAAGTATATGTTATTAATATAAGTATTATGTTTATCTGTGTTTATAACAGGTCATATATATATTAAATTATTTTGTTACTAATTAGGTAAATTTGTGATTGCAAGTGACTGTTAAAGTACAGTGGGATGTTATAGCGTTACTAGAGAAGCTACATATGGTACTGTTAACCATGGATATGGGACTAGGGGGGGGGGGGGTGCTGGTGTTTCAGGGTATGTGGTCAATGCTAAACTGCTATTTGATCTTCACTATTGGCTTCAAGGCAATGGCAATAAGTTGTTGCTCAAAAAGTTTCATATTTTTTGTTTAGTGTTTTATTAAATCTGGTCTAATCACTAAATAAACTTGCAATGACCTCACTCTCACTTGATCAATTCTGTAACATTTTGTGGTTGTTTTTGCTAAAGTATTTAGTCCAGTTATAAAACAATTTAAAAGAGAGCAAAATACATTCCAGCTATCTGAAATAATATTCTTGTACATTTGCATGGTGACATCAAGCAAATTGAACTTTGTTTATTGCACGGATTAAGGCCTGTGTTAACAGACCCAAATCTTTGCAGTAGTAAATAATTACATGGTGTACGTACCTACAAGCTAATTTACGTAGCTGAAATAAATTTGTAATATGAATTTAGTATGTATACAATTGCTATAGAATGCAGACTGTCCTGGCAAACTGGTCTATTAGCAATATGGCCTGCTGTTGCTAGTCACTTTTCAATTATTTGATTTTTATTGTTATAACAATAATAATATGATATGACAACTTCTTATCTTTTGATCTTTATTGTTATAACAATGATAATATGATATAGCAGCCCTGTACTTGTATATATACAAGTTGTATCATTTGTATATGGTACATGTTAACCAATCAGATAGTTTGTTTACATTTTTAGGCTAAACCAATCAGAGTTCAGAGGGCATGAAATTGACATTTATGTTGACCTGCTTTATTTGTCAATTGACTATGTTCCATTTTGAATACTGTATGTTTTGCCATTTGTGGATATATAATGTCTTCTTTATTTTTTATTTTTTAACTTTATTTTCATAAACTTTTAACAAATTTAAAATCCCAAGATTTTTCTCTCTATTGGAAATCTTAGCATATGTTAAGCAGCACAACAAAATTAACATTTAAGTTGTTGAAAATCTTTTGCAAATATCCAAAACCTTGGAATTTATTTATGTCCAGGGAAGGATATTTAATAATAAGAGTCATTGTTCTAGCTTTCAGCAATTAATTTGCAAGTGTAAAGATATTTATTTTTTCGCACTTTTCCCACAATTATTTTGACAATTGTGTACGTACCCCTGGTTTTCAATAAGTGAAAAACCGGTTGCATTGGATGAGAATGCCATAGAAAATTTCCATTCAGCAGTTAGCACCAGCTGGGACAAAAGAAACTCTACACATGGTATTGCACTGAAAGCAAAATAAATTTTTGCTTGCAAAAACAATCTTCATAATTTCATCTAAAAATTTATATTTCAGTGGTAAAATGAAAGTCAGAAAAACAATTGAAAGTCAAGTAAGCTGAAATCCTCATACACAAATTTGAATCCAAGCCTATACATCCATGCAAATGTGACAGTTCAACAACCCTAAGCTAAATGACAATTGAAATGGACAACAAAGTGGATCTTGTCAACCTGTTTAAAAAGCAAATAGGTAGTGACAAACCAAGTTCTTCCTTTGAGATTCATGTCAATGGAGAAGACCCAGTGTGACTAAACATTTTTCAACCAAAGCTCATGCATGGTTTGTGTGTTACTGGATATAAAAAATTTCATTAATCATTCTTTAAGCAAAGATTTTGTTAATAATTTTATTTATTCAAAAATCTACCTATTCTACCAAAGTCCAAAACTGGTAAAATCTAGATCTAGTTAAACTTCCACCCCTGTTCTAAGTTTGGTATGACTAAACTCGTCTGGGGTTGTTCATCTGGATACACGGGCTACTGGGGTTAAATAATTAAGACACGGCTTTCATAAAAGTATTGAAACATAAATGATTTTTCGTTGTTGATCAATTCTGAAATTGTTAAACATAATCCATATCAGTTTTCTTTAAGTCATGATTTTATTTTTTACTCCTTTTCAAGTTTAGGAAATTCACGCATTTCGATTATTCTTGACGCTAAAATGGCTATCCTTAAAACCAGGAACGGGGAATCAAGGAACTGGGAACCTAGAACGGGGAACAGGGAACAGGAAATGAGAATCTTTGGAATCTTTAAAACCCGGAAGGAGAATCTCCGGGATCTTTAAAACCCGGAACGAGAATTTCCGGAATCTTTAAAACCCGGAATGAGAAACTCCGGAATCTTTAAAACCCGGAATGAGAAGCATTGTAAAGAGAAGAAGTAATAAAATAAATCCCGTTCTAAGCAAGTTGTGTCGTTCGATATCGTTTAATCACAGAAGATATGCTGCACCTGACTACACAAAAGATAGTTCACTTTGTAGCGTTTTTCACGCACGTGGACTTGCATTCATAATTTCATAATTCGATTGTATTGGAGGCATGACTTCTACTACTTAATTGTCCTGTATTCCAATGTGTACACCAGCACAACGATATCATAAATTGACTGTTTTTTATGCATTAAAGTTGATATCGAATAACACAACTTGCTTAATATATAGAAAGGGATGCTATTTCATCCCTCTGTTTGCATGTTCGTCATCCCGGGTTTTTAAGCTTCCGGATTTTCTCATTCCGGGTTTTAAAGATTCCGGAGATTCTCGTTCCGGGTTTTAAAGATTCCGGAAATTATCATTCCCGATTCCCCGTTCCTTGATTCCCCGTCCTGGTTTTAAAGATAGCCACGCTAAAATGTCATCAAACGTGCTGATTGGTCAACATTTTCTCCCCCTGTGAACTTGTCTGCGGGAGATATACTTAGTTCAGGGAGATATATTCGGTTACAGAAAAATAAATATTTTCTGACTTAAAATTTGTCTTTGAACATACTCCACTCCACCGCTCGGAACACTTACACTTCATTCAAGTCATATTCTTGATCAGTACATAAATCAGAACATGGCCGATGCAAATTTGGTTTCAAAAATCCAGTCATACGGCCTTATAAAACTAGGAAAGATCATGGAAGGCAGTTTGGGAATACCTACTGATGGCGTAAACACAATCGATGAAGCTCGTGCAAGAGTGTATGAAAAATTGCTGAATCTCAAAAATGTCTGATTGGACACTCGGAGAGGTAATCTTCAACATACCTGTGTGGTATTAAGCAGAATTACACCGTACAGAACTGGTGATATTTTCACCGAATGTTTGCTAAATATTATTAGCCGTGTTTACCCAATGAGATTTCTGGTAATTGCGTAATGTTAAATAGCCCTTTTCCTTCAATGAATTCGACATTTGTTTCATAGAATTAATGTGTCCTTCTGAAAGTCGTGTAATGTTTGGAAAGGACATAATTTCAGGAGAAAATTGCGTTTTCCTTTCCTTACCTTTCCTTCGCTTTGGTTGAGCGATTTTAAGGCATTTTTAAACATATCAAAGATTCCTAGGTATAAGCTCAGATTCGATAAATTTTCAATAGTAAAGGACGACTTGCCCAAACGAACTGTGTATTCTGAAATTTGGAACAAACACCAAACGGTACTTCAGAAGAAAATGTTTGATTTCGTGCTATATTACCTGTTATTTAAAATTATAAGATCTGAGACGCGTTAGCTCGACGCTAATGCGTTCAATGACAATGTACAAAAGTATCATGCAATTTTCACGTATAAAGTTGACATAAGGTATACACTAGCAAATTCTTATGGGCACTGGCTTTCATTACACAGAAATCGCGAATCAGTATAATTGTTTGTTAAAACAAACAGTTTCAAATATAACTTTAACTAATTCCCGTCTGGTCACTATTAATCCCGTCTGGACAATATTGTCGGGCCGAAGCAAAACATTAAATATCTCAGCAAGTATTTGGGCTAAATTAAAGACCCCGGAATACCACTAAACGATTGCGGTTGAATCGAATATTTAAATAGTATATTCAAACCAAGATATAACTATAAACTGCATTTGTATTCTAAGTCAAAACAAGAATCAAAACAATAGGTTGCTTTGTTATCTCAAATTACTCAAACGCAAGTGGATTACCCCCCCCCCCCATATACGGATGAAAGGGATGCTGCCAATGACGTCACAATGGGTGTGCGTGGGGGTGCCACGTGAACATTACGTGGGGATACATGATAGTTTCGCGTGAACATCATAGATGATGCATTTTGCGTTCAATGACGTCATACTAAATGTACACGGGAGTTTCACGTGTACATTATGCATTTGATGTGTGTGGTGTTTATAGGGTATGATATAGGAATCAAAATCAGATTTTAGTATGGATTATTTATTATTTCGATTTGTTGAAAAATCATGGTACAGTTCGATTTGTCTCTAAAATAATTTTTATTAATATAATTTAAGTACTCTACGACTATTAAATAGATAGTTATTTAGGATTGTTCTAAAGTCTTTTGTTCTAAAGTCACTTAGACTTACCGTTCGTTGTATTTTGATTAAATGTACCAAACTAATGTTTGAGGGTGTCAGGAACTGCCTCCCTGGGTTCCCAACACAAGAAAAGCATTTGTAAATCCCATGATTTTCCCCTTTTATTTACGAAACTGCCTTCACACAACTCAGATTTCTCCCTCCTCTCAAGTTACAGTTTTAACCGGAACCATCCGAATGTCTAAACCCGCGCGCCCGTCTCGCGCGACAATATAACGTAATTATAATAAAGTTTCCGACACTCTCCCCCCATATAGTTTCTTGAAGGTATATGTACTAAAGGAAACTTAAATAACGGCAACGATACTAATCTAAATCCAATGTTGAATATATAGACCTTATGTTGGGCCTGAAAACGTGTACTAAAATTTATGTTTCATTTCACCCCGCTGGGAACAGGAAAAATTTATGACGACTTACCTTTACTTTATGT